GCACACTCACACCCCAAACAAAGTCGCAACGGTGATTGCTTCAGGTTTATAATTTTCCAGTGCAACAAAGCATATTTTTCTTCTCCATGAATTCTTTCTGCTTAGGTCCAACTTCTAATCCTCTTACCCACTTAATTGAATGCTCTCCAAATTTAACCCTCTCCAAGCTCTCCCCGTGAAAATTCCTCTCAGCCTGTTGAGCTGGTTTTAGGCAGGTTTCCAGAAAGCATTTCCCCTGAACTCCACACAGCTCGCAGCAGCCTCCACGGCTGTGTCGGGAACACATGGGAGGTGGACAGAGAATGGGAGGCTGGCAGACATTGGTCGGGCTGCTGTCTGTCCCCTGTAACCCAAGATCTCAGGTGACGTGACTCCAAAGCCAGCTGTGGTACCTTGGGCCCCTGCCGGCAAGGCCCCAGACCCAGCAGGGGCAGGGAGAAGCCCCGGGCATCTGGACCCAGGACAGGAGGGCTGTCCTTCTGCCACCTGCAGCTCTTCTCCCCAGATGGCTCCAGCCTGCTCCTTAGGAGGGGGAGGTGTAGACATTCTCCTCACGCTCCGTCTCTGCCCCCAGGCGTAGGGACCTGACCTTCTGCTCTCAGCATTTAGGCAGCAAATGAAAAGAAGTGACATGGAAATCAGGCAGACGTCCCCCACAGAGGCCAGTGTGTTCTGCTGCCAAAGGTCTCAGATGAGCCTGTGCTGGGAACCAAAGGCAGACCCAACTCATACCCTACAACCTGGGCCTTGAGGAGAATTCCAGCCAATGGGCGAACGTCGCCCTGACCTCTCCGGCAAAGAGCTGGTCCAGGGAAAAGTCCACTCATGTAAAGATGAGTCATCAACCAGGAAGCTGCAAAGCATGTCTCCCAGCATCAGAAAGGACGATGGGCAAAGCAAGTGGCAGAGCAGAGTCCTCACCAGGACAATGCTGCCACGTGCCACCCCAATAATTTAAACAGGGAGCTGCATTAACAAAATGAAAACACTGCCAAAGAGCTGCTAAAAACTGCAGCGAAACAATTGCCAGGCCTTTAAAAACGTAATGAAGTTATTGCTTCCAAGAAGGAAGAGTACAGGAAAAACAGTGGAAAAAGAAAGTGAAGGAAACTAGAAACTAGCTCATGGAAGAAACCGCACTGCTGGATACTGTAAAGACATCGAGGGCCGGAATAACACAAACTCAGCAAAATGACATGGGAATAGGAGAGTTGGAAAGAACTAGGTAGGCAAAGGATAGGTAAAGCGGCCTAACATTTAGGAATGTATTAAACACTCAGGATGGCCCAGGCACTGTTGGAGGCACTGGGATTATAGCAGCTCTATGAACAACACTGGCCAGGCCCTTCTAGCCCTTGAAACAAAACTGTGTCTTATTCACACCATTGCTGGTCAAACATGCAAAGGCCACCCAACAAAGAGCCTACAGTCAAGGTGTCCCATGCCCTTCTGTGGGGCTCATCATCCCTGTTCCCATGCAGTGACAACAGGAAAATTCACACAGACACGGCTGCTTCTGACGTATCCTCTGCAGCCGAGGCTGCCAACCGCAGCCCCGAAGATGCCTCCCAACACCACTCGCGTGGTGTTTAGACACCCAGACCATGCAGCCTGTTCCAACTGGCACAAAGTTACGTGCTTCTCCCGGTGCCCCAGGTCACGCCGTGTATGCCCATCAGGCTACAGTGCCTTGGGGGCCCGTTCGTGTGCCTTAACCAAACCAATGTGGCTGTGACCCAAATCAAATTTAGCAACCACTTGCAAACTGGACGGGCCTCTGCCCCTTCCAATGGTCTTCCCCCTGGGATCCGAGTCTCAGCTTTGGGGAAGGGCTTTTGTTCTATGGTGGCTGCTTTCTTGGGTGCCTGGCATCAAGCCTGGAGCTAGTGCCTGCTGCTTGTATTCATTTATGCTTTACTTTAATCTATTGTACATAATAAACTGAACATAAAGTTTACCATTTTAACCCTTGGTAAGTGCACAATCCAGTGTCAGCATCGCCATGATCTATTTCCAGAACTTCTCCATCATCCCATCGAACAGTAGCTCCCCGTCACCCCGCCCACAGCCCCTGGTAACCCCTGTGCTACTTTATCTTATCTCCATGCATTTGTCATATCCGGACACCTCAGATAAGTTGACTCATACAAGGTCTGTACTTTTGTGTCTGGCTTATATTTCACTTAGAAAATGTTTCCCAAATCCATCCCTGTTGTGTGTGTTGGAATTTCCTTCCTTTCTTTGACGGAATAATATTCCATTGTATGCACGAACCACATTTTGTTTATCCATTCATCTGTTCCTACATTCTTTAGAGATCTCTTTACCCCATAGTGGTCAACCTTCTGCTATCAGTTAACCATTATTTATATTATACATTCCCTGTGTACACTGTAGTTTTTGTCTCCTGACTGGGACTCTGACAGACACACCTGCCTTTGGGAACAGCCTTTCGCTCCCCCATTGTGACTTTGATGGGCCAATCATGGAACCTCATTTCCTTTATCATAAACCATATTGCTTCATCACTCTAGTAATAGTGATGGGTCACAGAGCCAGCACATCACCCAGCCAACGCAGTCTGAACTCTTCCCCAGGATTGCTAGTGGGTACAGGAGGTACTGACCTAGAGATGCAGGTGGGGATCCATCCCCATGGGATTGCCACACTAGGGTTCTTGCAGCCACATCCTCAGACATGGAGAGGAGAAACAGACCAACGTGCAAAGAGACATGGAGAGTCACGTGGTCTAGCTCTAATATCCCTGCAGAGAGGATAGCCTGAGAAGAAGGTGAGCACTCAAAACAGTGAGACAGCAAATAAGAAGAGCGAGAGCCCTGGGCGGGTGGCTCAGTTGGTTGGAGCATCATCCCATATTCCAAAATATTATGGGTTGGATCCCGGTTGGGGCACGTACTGCAGACAACCGACTGATGTTTCTCTCTTACATCGATGTTTTGCTCTCTCTCTGTCCCTCCCTTCCCCTCTAAAATCAATGAGCATATCCTCTGGTGAGGATGGGGGCGGGTAGGGAAGAAGAGTGAGAAAGGACCACCAGAACTGCAGCAGAGACAAGAAACAGGAGGAGAGAGTGGCATCATTCTCTGCTGATCATCATGCTGCCAAGACAGGATCATTTAAGAGAAGGGAGGGGTGAGTGCATTCTGGCCTCTGGCCAGCAGGACCTGCAGAATCCTGCAGGGTGGAGGCTGGGCCAACCTGAGAAAGCCAGGACAAGCTTTCCGGCTACACCCTCCTTCCTGTCCTTTTGTCCCAGGCAGGTAAACTATCAAGTAACATCAAATAATTTCCTTTTCTCTGTCCCTGGAAGGTTTAAAGGTCTCCTCTTTTCCAAGCATTCCCTTTGCTCTTATGCCAGTTTTTTTTTTCCTCCCCTCCTGCACCATCCTTTCTATCTTCTGTGAGCTGCTACCTAAGACAGGGGTTTCCAAGCTATACCAGGGGACCAAGTCCTCAGAGGACCTCAGTCCTTTCCTAAAGGCCTTCACCTGATTGAATGAAGCCCACCCACAGAATGAAGGTTTGCTTTACACCGCTTCTACTGATTTAAACATTAATCTCATCTAAAAAAATCCCCTCGCAGCAACATCCAGAAGTGTTTGATCAACTCTCTGAACACTATCCGACCCAGCCGGGGTGCCACATAAAATGAACCATGGCACCATATAATCCAGTTTTGGTCAGCAAGGTGGCAGCAGAAGGTGGTGAGCCGTCTTCCTCAGGGGGGCTCCTGAGGAGAAAGGCCGTTTCCTCTTTTCCTCATCTTTGCTGCCTGAGGAGTGAGTCTGATGGTTGGCTCTTCTCCAGCCATCTGGAAGAAAAAGCCAAGAGAAACTCAAAGAACTCAGCCCCAATATCCTCATGCCTTGCACCTGCCTGGATTTCTGGCCTTTGCACCTCTCTTTAGAAAAACAGAGCACTGACTTGCTTTTTCATGTCTGCTACTTGGTAGCCAAATGTAGCTCCTAACTAATACACCAAAGTCTGCTTCTTGGCCGTGTGGAGCTGTCTCAGGTATGAGCATTCTTGAGCCTGGCACCCCTACTCTCATGGACCCTGTGAGTCTCCCTGCTGCCTCTCCAATAGACGAATGGGACTAGCCCGAATGGAGACTAGCCCGAATGGGAGCTAGCTCGAATGGGACCTTGTTTGTGTACAAGAGCCCTCCCAAATGTAAGGCATAAACCAGGCAGAAGGGACTAGGACATTAGGGGTGTAATGGGAGGCGGGGGGCGGTGGAAACACAAAAAAAGTTCCAGGTGGAGGAGAAAGCAATACGTTCAGAGAGGCCAAGGCAAAAGGCCATACGCTACAGGTTAAGTAAGGCTGGAAAACAGGGTGCAGGGGGTGGGGCAGGGGACTGGCTGGAGTGAGGCAGAGAGGTAGGCCGTCTTCCCAGAGGGAAGACTGGACTTTATCCCCAAGGATATGGGAGTTGTGGGGAGGCTTTATGGGAGCGTGTGTGCGTGTGTGTGTGTGTGTGTGTGTGTGTGTGTGTGTGTGTGTCACAGGATCACACTTCCAAATGTGCCGTTTCCTCATCTGAGGAACGTCTGAGCTGGAGCAACAATGAACCTAGGTCCCTATCTGATTTGATGTTTACGGCCCTTTAAGGTCCAGTGGAGCAGAGGACAGACACAGAAGCGTGTTTTCCTCTGGGACAGCCCGAGGGTCAGTGCCCGCGTACATGCCTATGCTTTGAAGGTGCGCATTTCAGTCTGCAGCCTCGGGTGGAGCTGAGTCCTTGAATGTCCACCCTGTTGGTGTGGCCTGGCGCCTCATTGTGCAAACATGTTTGCTTGGGGCTACCTGAGACCCCACGACTCTCCCGGGGACCCAGCTGAACCCTGTCTTCTCCGGGCTCCGAGGGATGCTGGGTCTTCCGGGTTCTTGTGTCGAATCTGCAGGCGGCGACCCGCGCTGCGTCTCCGCGTGTGGAATGTGCGGCTGCGCGCGCGCGGCGGCGTTTACGCGGCGATTTCATCATGCTCAGGGTCCGGCCCCGAGCGCCGCTTCCGCCGCCCCGCCTGCCGTACCGCCCGGGGCCGCCGGCTCATGCCCTGTCCGCGCCCGGCGCTGCTTAGAGCCGCCTGCGCCGCTCTGCTGCTCTCGCTGCCTCCACGGCTCCCGGCCCGGCCTCCGCTCCCGCCCCGCCGGCCGCTCCGCACGCGCACCCCCGCCGCGACCTTATTCCCCGCGGCCGCCTCCGGGAGCAGCATGGACGGCGCCGGGGCTGAGGAGGTGCTGGCACCTCTCAGACTAGCAGTGCGCCAGCAGGTACCCGTGATCTGTGCCTCCCCCTCAGCCTTCGGCTTTCCCTCCCTCCCCCCTTTCCGTCCCGTTTCCCCTCTCTCCTCCCCGGGCACCCGTCCACCTCGCCGGTTACCCCTCTCCATCTTCTGGAAGCCCCTGATTTCCTGGCATCATCCTCGCCTCCCCCACTGTGGACCCAGATCCCCGCGTGCGTCGGCCACCTTCCCTCCGGTGGACCTCCGTCCTTCCCTCATCTTGGGTGACTCCCTCGGATCCCCGTGGACATCCTGCTCGAATCTGTCCTCCTTTCCCACGGCTAGTTACTGCCCGCGCCTCCTCTCCCCGCGGAGGCTGGGCTCTGTGCCCTTTCGGTTTCCCCCCAGTCCTAGCTCAGCAACCTCAACTTCACTTTCCGATCTCCGCCGAGTTCTTTGTGCGCCCTGGGTGGCGGGGTTGCTAATTCTTCCCTGGTCGATTTGAGCCGCCGTTCTGTCTTCGTGCGGCTAGACTCTCCTTTTTCATCTTCGGGATGCTTTGAATGGTGTTTCCTCCTGGACATCTTCCTGCATTCTTTGCTTAGTTAGCCGACGACGGGCTGAGAAAATAAAAATAGTTGAAACGTGGATGTGGGGAGGCGTTGAACTCCCCCTCCCCTTCTAATAATGCTGTGAGCTCTTCGTCCTTCGCTCCTGTCTTCCTTTCTGGGTTCCGAAAGGGTCATTTGAGAGGAGGGAACTTTCAGATCGCAAACCGGGGACACTGACTGTTGCTGAGTGACTCGGTGAGGTCAGCCCTGCGAATGGGACACTGTGAGGGAACTTTCCGGCTCTGGAGGACTTGATCTGGACAGGCTTCCCTTTCCCGGGGCACTCCAAGGGTGTCAGAATTTAGAGAGGACGAGGAAAAGGTTATTATTGCAAATGGATTCTCACATCCAGTCGGTGGAGCCGAGAGCCTGGGATGGGGACCTAGTGGGAAACCCGGAACGGGTTTCTTGCCTGGGCCGACGCCTGATGCAATAGCTCATCTCGGCTGCGGAGGGTGGCACCCTCCCGCGGAAACGATCGATTGGTTTAGAGATGCCACAGATTCAGCAAATGCTGCCACTTTGCAATGTCTCCTTCTTGCTGGTGTGAGCCTGACTGATTCAGTGGTGTTTTAATTTGCAGTTTCACCGTGGGCTTAATTTTTACTCCTTTATTTTTGGTATCAGGACGCTGCTTATTCTCCGTCTCCCTACGCCCACTTTCCCTAAATGAATTAGGTGTGGCTCCTTTGTCTTTTCTGTAACTATCCATTGTTTTCATATCCTTCACTTTAGAAGGGACACTACATCGAATTTTTAAAAAACACGTCCCCAAACCCCTCCCTCTGCCACGTTAGCCTGGAACTGCAGTGGGAGTTATCTGTCATCGGAGGCTGTGGAAGCAAGCAGCTCTGTGCGCTTACTTTGATCGTTTTTTTCGATGCTGTTATTATCTTGCGTCTTGTTTATGTTGGCTCTGTTGTTACTTTTTTAAAGGCACTTTCTGAATATGTAAGTTAGTTTAGGTAAGTTCAGTTGGATTCTTAATTTTTCAGGACCACACATACGAGATTTAAGTACCTGGAACTTTGATTCATGGCGATTCTTCTAGTGTCAGCTGGAAAGGTATTTAAAGATCAGCAAGTTACACCCCACCCCCCTTTTTTTGTTAGGAGGAGGTGAAACACACTGCCCCCATCGATACATTTTACATATTTCCATTGTGAAGTTTGTACAGTAGAAGACATACTTGCAGTGAGGATTTTAAGGGGGTTAACAACTGATCTTATTAGTGGGCTGTGTTTCATGTAATTATGTGTTTCCTATGAACTTGCTGATCTGCTAGGCTGTGTGCATGCTGTTGCTTTTTAAAGGACTCTAGTGTTATTTTCCTGTGGCACATCCATAGCTGTTTACTGGAGAAGCAGTTCTGGAACTTCTAGGAGGGCTTCAGAACATCAGGAAAAATGCATAGCTGTTTGATGGAGGGTGCCCTAGGACAACTGAATTTTTAAAAAGATAGGAATTAACATAGGGTGACCAGCCTTTATTTTGCCAAATAAGTACATTAAAATAAACTAATAACAATTACCAGACTGCCGTCTGAATTCTGCTTTCACTTCATTGAAGAAAGGATATTTTAATACAAAAAAAGGCAAACCATAACTTATACAATAAAGAACAGTCTTTTCTGTTTAGTAGGTTTAACTTTGAAAGACCAGCTAACGTCTTTTTTTTTTTTTTTTTTTTTTACTACGTATTAGTGAAAGCTCTGTTCCGTAGTGTCTTATTGGGGAACCATAGACAGCTCCAGGGCAGTGGCGCTGAAGTGTTATGTGCGAACCCTTGGAGGCCCCAAGGTTGGAGCTATGTGAGGACAAGGTGAAGATGTTGTTTTGTTTTTCAGTGTGTTGCCATTTGCGAAAGCAGTGGCGGGAAGCAGCCTGCCCTGTCCCCCCCACTCCGAGAGCGGTTTCTTTTTAGGTCAGTTTTGCTTTAGAGGGTTCTTCAGACAGCGGTTAAAATGATTAGTGTTATTATTAATAAATTGTTTTGATTTTCTGTGTGACAAAAGTGTGGATTTGCAGAAGGCGTATTGGAATCTGGTGGTGGTCTCAGGACAAACGCTTGTGTGGTTGTTCGCATGACAAGCTGAGCGCTCTGCCTCTTCCAGGGACTGCTTTTGTGAGATGCGGGACAGTGCTGTCATTCCGTCCCGAGTGTCGGTGTTCATTTTCTGGAAAAGGAGTGACGGGAGCTCGTCATTTCAAGAAAATAACTGTTAGTATTTGTGGCCAATGATAAACCTTTGGGGAAATTTTGCAAAATTCATTACTGCTATTTTAAATGAGTTAGTGAATATTTAAAATTTGTATTCTAATTTCTAATACAGTAAACTGATAGAAATGGCCCACACTAACAAAAGGAATTTGGGGTCCTTGGTGATAAGTATGACACGGGGTTCCGAGACCACACGTTGTAGAGCTGTTGTTCTAGGGCAGTGGTAGCATCTGGTCATCCCCCCAGGACCTCCCATTCCCCAGCCCGTTTTCCCCTTTACAGCTGAGGGGTTCCCCATCCTCTCTGCTCACTCAGTCCCGTCTGTTCTACCCACTGCACCCCGCCCCTGGGCCTGCACCACTGCCCTCGCCTGGTACCCTGAGGGTGCTTTTCTGGGATCATTTTACCTATTCTCAGCATTTACCTGTGCTAATCACTCTCCTGTTGGAACTGCCCGCCTGTCCCATCTTTGTGTAAATGTTGGGATTCCTCCCCTAAAGAAATACATGTTTCAAGGCCTCTGTGCAAACACGGCCTGTTGAGATGGCTTTTACTTGACAGCTGGTGTAGAGGTTTGGTGAGGTGTCTTCCAATCATTGCCAGATGTAAGAGGCCTCTCTGAAGTGCTTTAGGTGGATGTAGCTTGCTGCTCTCACAGAGTAACCAGTATGGAGAAAAGTAACCAAGAAGGCTTTTTTTTTTAACCTGGAGTGAAACTTAATTGTCAAGACAGGAAAGGTTTTTGAAGAATCGGTAGATGGCATTCTAGGGGGTTGCTGGGGATTCTCTAATTTGAAAAATACACCCCTGCCTATGTTTGTGTTGCTGGACCTAGTGATTAAAAGGGTGGGCTCTGGGGCTGTGTTTCCGGAGTCTGGGTCTGACTCCGCTCTTTGCTAGCTGGTGACTCTCAGCAGGTTTTTTAAACCTTTCTGTAGTGTTACAATGAGCACCGGGTGTGTGAGTGCTATGTGTGCGGCCCACACCCCGTGGTAAACTTGGTTGGATGTTAGGTGTTATTCCGAGATGCGTGTGGCTTATTGGAGTGCTCATTTTACTAAACCTTCGCTGGCGCGGGGCTCTCCTGTTTTCCTGTGATCGGTGGTTTGGTAATGTTCTGAACCTTTATAAGAGGGTCAGTGTCTTTGGAATTTGGTAAGCTAGGATGATAAAAAGCCTTCTTAATGATTTCTTGGGTGGTCTTTAAATGGTGATTTTCGGTCTAAATTACCAATGATAGGAATGCACGTGTGCATAACATTGCTTGTGTTTCGGTATTTCATATTTACAGTAATTGGGAAGACCCAGCTAAAATTCAGATCTTGGTGGTAAGAAGACTTAGGGTGAAGAGCCCTCAGTTCTTCTCTGCATTGATTTTCTGCTTTGAAGCTCTTGCTTTAGCCCTGGCTGGTGTGGCTCAGTTGATTGGAGCATCGTCTTGTAGACTGAAAGGTCACAGGTTCGATTCCCAGCCGGGGCACATACCCAGGTTGTGGATTAAGTCCCTAGTTAGGGCACAAAGGAGAAGGCAACCAGTTGATGTTTCTCTCTCATGTTGAAGTTTCCCTCCCCCCCGCCCCCGTCCCTTTCTTGCTTCCATAAAAACAATTAAAAAATTGTTCTTGGGTGAGGATTTAAAAAAAAAAAAGCCCTTGCTTAAGCCACAGAGAGCAAGTGAAACATTTTTGAAGTTTTGGGTACCAGCTGTTAAACACTTGGAAATCTGAGACGAACTCAATCTCAGTAAGAACCCGCTAGGCCCACGTGTGTAAAACCAAACACCTTACAAAGGTGAGGGAGTGGGTTTCTGTTTGTTTTTTCTTGGCCGGCTGAGTGCACATTGCAATGTGCAGGAAGGACCCACAAGGACCCTGTGGAATGAATGGTTGCTCAGCTGGCAGCTACTTTGCTTCACAGTCACAGGCTGTTACGTCCAATACGTGTCTTTAGGTGAGAGTATATCCGGGAGCTAAGCGTCCAGTTGATGTTTCTTAAGAGTAATGCAGAGCCTTAGAGGCTTGTCCTTTCACATCAGTTTCACTGAACACACACACACACATTAAAGCACAGTTGGGCAGTGAAGAAGAGAGAAGAAAAATAATTCGAAATAGGAATCCTTAAGTACCTTCGTCTCCTGTTTTCAGGATTGGATCATTATGAATCATGACTTTAAAAGTGGTTCAGGAAAATTAATTTTATTTATTATTTGTTTCTTAAG